AGGGCATGCTTTGACGATTCTCTTAGTATGACTGATCCACCATCTTTTATAGAATGAGAGAGAAATCTTAGCATTGTCACTGATATTTATTCAGCTTCTATAATCAGTCATGTATAGTCATAAGCTTTAGGGAAATTTTCAGAACTTCCTCATGAAAATACAGGAACAAACATCACTCCAATTTGAAACAGTTATATTTCTCTTCATACTTGATATAGAAAAAGAAAAAAAAACATTTTAGACAGCTAATGTCAATAAAAAATGTATCTATATATAAAATTCTGTGACTTCCGTTAGTCTGTCCGTCCGTCCGTCCGTCACAACCTCTAAAAATGTCATGCATTGACCGATCGAAATCAAATTTTGGGGAGAAGTGCAAACAGGTAAGGGGGTACAAAGTACACGAAGTATTTTTTTTTCTCAAAGTATTTTTCGAAATAAATCAGCTTATTCAATTTTCATAGACTAATTTGTGAAATTGACCGAAACGTAGAATTTGTAAATTTCGACAGAAAAAAATGTTAACAATAATTTCAACAATACTAAATACTAAGAGGATTTCAACACGCATCAATACTAAATACTAAGAGGATTTCAACACGCATCAATACTAAATACTAAGAGGATTTCAACACGCATCAGTGTGTTTCAAAAAATATTCTAGTTTATTAAAATGAAGAATGTTGGGTTTAGTTTGTAGCTATCATTTTCTCAGCATAAATATTATCTACAGAGATAAAAATTATTGTATTTGGTAGAATTTAAAAAGAATCTTTTATCATGAATTGCTGGAATGTAGACCGACTTTTACTGCAAAATGGCTCTTTTGAATGATGCACTAAATGAGAAAAAAAAAACTTCTTTTAGACAGATTTACTGTTGATTTTGCTACAAGACAATGCCTATCCTTATATAATAAATTTATTCTGAAGAGGCAAATTGGAGATCATAGCTACAATCAAGATAGCTTTTAACATATCAACATAGAATGAATTTGTTGAAGATATTCTTCGTATTTGATTGAATTCAAAAGGAATATTTTGTTATGAATTACTAGAAATTAGACAATCTGCTCTTATTGAATGCTACAATGTACAATTAACACGTTTGAATGATTAATCTGAAGAGTAAATACATTTTTTAGGGGAACAGAAATCAACCTAGGATTTTGCTCCTTTCTCGTCTAATTTTTCTGGGATTGGAATTCTTTCACGCGCAGCGTATTCCCTAAACTTTTCATCTTTACACTGTCTCTTATTTCGTTCCATGGGGCACTCTTTTTCGGCAGAATTTTTTTAAAAATTCTCAAAACATAACTGGAATCGTTCTTTTAAGCTGAATATATAATTTATCCAGGGAAAATACTTTTATGATTGAATAATCTGATATAGCCGGTTCCTTTCTCATTACTAACAACAATATATTGACTTATGAGAAATAGATTTGTCTTCAGTTAGTTGATTGATACATTTTCGTGCGAAGTTTTCATGACTAAAAGGGAATCCGTAATTTAATCAAGTGTCATGATAGTTAATGTTGCTTGTTTTCTCGACAAATGAGTATTAAAATAACAACGTTTCATTACTGTATATATTACAGTATAAGCTGATCGCATGCACAGTGTCTGTTCGGAAAATATGTTTATTAAAGAAAAAGTAGCCTTAGTATTCCCTTTAGGACTTCATGAACTTAGTCCCTTATTCTTTAAAGGTTGCCATCACTTGCCTCATCATATTCTTATTAATCTCGCTTAGAGACTGAAATATCCTACATTGTAACGAAGATTTCAGCTTCAGGAAAAGGCAGAAGTCACAGAAAGCTAAATCTATAAATAGTAGATAGGATATGTTGGCAGAAGAGCAGGTAACGTCATGTTTTCTTTTCATTTTTTTTAAAAACCAGCCTAAAGCTTGAAGAGTAGACAGTTGAGGTATTTAAAATGAATTAATATTTTTCGAACAGCCCGTGGAATCCGTTTTCTAATTCTTGTACTGTTAATCGGCGATTTGTTTTCATTGCTTGCCCAGATGGTTTCAACAGTTTTTGCTCTTCTGCTTATTGAAGGTCTCTTCGTACCCGAATCACTTTTAATGTATCTTCTATCAAATTTGTAGTATCATTACAAACATTTTATGTGGGCTTTGTTCATTGAATCATCCTTTAATACCTTCTCATTCGATATTCGAATAGTTTCACCTTCAAGCAAAACATATATTCACTAAGAATAAACACAATAAACAAGCACACTATAGTGAACACGAAACAAAGGATGAACCTTCTGTTCAAAAGATCCAATCGTGGGGGGGGGTAGTATAAATCGGATAAAAGCAAACCTTATGAATTATTACCAATATATTAAACGTAAGAAAACTACCTAGAAGCGTTTAGCATCGTTTCGTCTCACTTGAGATTTATTCTTTATTTTTGATTCAAGATTTTTACTAACAGATGTAAATTAACAATTGGATGAGTTTCAATAAAAGCAACACAATATGCTTAAACAATTGTAATAATTTAATATTCATCTAAAGAATCTTTAGATTATGACATGTATTATTTTTAAAAAAAAAATACCATATCAGTCGAGAACCTCGAAGGTAATGATTCTCTACAGCTTCTCTCCAGTTAATATCTGTGAATTGCTATGACTTCTTAGGAAATATAGCACTGTAGCTTCCTGTTACCTTATAAATAGCTTTGAATTCGGTGCGGTTCTTCTCCTAGACTGATCAATGATTGGAAGGGAAAGGAAGAATTAATGGTTTTTGCAATGGCATTAATGTGGAGTGAATGTAATAGGGAGACTGAATTTAAATCATGCTCAACGTTTCATGCTTTCACGTTACGATTAAAGTTTCGCTACTCACACATTTTCACCTCTTCTTCTTCCATATGCCGCGTACATTCAAAAGTGGCTTATCATGGCTCTCCACAATGTTTTGTCTTTTGTAGCTCTTAGTAAAGTTTCTCTTTTACTATCTCTCTTGATTTCTGTTCTGCCTACCATTCACACAAGCTGATTAGAGTAGATTATCTGCTAATCTCCTCCGTCCTTCTGGCCTTCAATATGTCATGTCAGTGTCAAACTTTCTAAGTCCTCTTTCTTCATTATGTGCCTTAGAGATTTTTCTGTTTCTTTCTGATGTGCTTTTTTGTTACCATTTTCTCTAAAACTTCGACATCGCTCACGTAGAATAATAGAAAAAGCAATAAGATCTAAGACCGCTTCCTCCAGTAAAATAAAATAAAACAAAATAACTGACAATGCTTCATCTAAGAAATTTGAATACAATATTATACATAGAATTCTCGTATAATAAAATGAGATAAAATTAAAATAATAGCATTGTTTTTTCTAGGCTTTATTACTGTAACCTAGAATATAAAGTATGTAACAGTTGTTTTCCAGTCATAATGTTGATTTTCATTTTATATGGTATTTTTTATATGGATTTATTTGAGATGCCTAGTGTCGGTAATTCCAACTCTGCGGCAGCACCTCCCACTCTGCAGTAAAGAGGAATAACTGATGGATACCAACGTATCCAAAATTAAAAACAAGCTTGTGGCACATCCTGCAACCTTGAGGAGGCGAGTAAATTGCCGGATTATAACTCTGGGAAGATTTATTAATATACTGTCCTCGACGCCCACACTGAAAGAATCTTGCAGCGGCTAACGCCCTGCTCTGCAGAGACTGCCTGGCTCTTCGAACACGAGGTCAGCTTAAAGAAGACGGAGGTCCTCCACTAGCCTGCACCCCGAGAAGAGTACCACCCTCCACACATCACCATTGGTGAGACTGAGCTGAAAGCAGTTCACCAGTACGCTTACCTGGGGTGTACCACCACATCGAATGCCAAGATCGACAGGGAAGTAGACAACGTACTGGCTTTCGACTAACTCTACAAAAGAGCCTGGAACAGCAAGCAACTGAAGAAGGACACCAAGATTAGCGTCTATAGAGCCGTTGTACTCACCACCTTACTGTACAACTCTGAGTCATGGGTAACCTACCTCCAACCCCTATGACTCAGTGAGTGCATCCATCAGCGCTGTCTCTGTACCATCCTCAACATTCACTTGAGTGACTATAACACAAATGTTGAGGTCCTCGAACAGGTGGAAATTACCTGCACTGAAGCCATGTTGCTGAAGTCACAGCTACGCTGAGCAGAGCACATCTCCAGAATCGGGGACCATCGCCTGCACAAGATAACCCTGTACGGCGTACTCTCTACTGGCCACCGTGACAGAGGGGCACCAAAGAAGCATAATAAGGACTCCCTCAAGAAGTCCCTCGAAACCTGTCACATTGACTATCGCCAGTAGTCGACACTTGCTGCTGATAGTCAAGCCTGGCGCCCCACCGTCCACCAGGCCGTCTCCACTTTTGAGGACTCACGCAAGGCCAACCTGAAGGAGAAACGCCACAGGAGGAAGGACCTGGAAGCCTCAGTAGCTATACCAGACCAGACCAGACCAGACCAGACCTTTAATTGCAGTCACTGCGGACGGACTTGCCTGTCCCGCATCAGCCTAATCGGCGTGCCTGCAGTCGACGTTGACAGCCCACTTCATAAATCTTCGTTCGCGAAGCCAGGCCAAGATTGTTCAAATAACAATATCCTCGTGTATTTGTTGTTATTAATATGATTGGAGGCTTCCTTTCTTTTTGTTTCACAGATTATGCACATCAAAAATTGCTGAAGCATCTTATCACTAGTAACTTTACAGCATTTGGTGTTCAATTGTCCGATCAATATTGGGCAGCTTGATGCGATTTTTTAATCATTTTAAATTTTAGGTGCATTTTTTTTTAAAAAAAGTGTGAATGGCTTTATCTGGATGTTATCATTTCCTCTCTACAATAAATTATCCTGCAAAGTCAGAGTGATTTTAAAAAATATAGTTAATCTAAAGTTTTAATTTCTTAAAATTTTAAGACAGATGAAAATATATTTACAATTAAAAACGTTTAGAAACATATACGCGTTCCTTTAAAAAGAAATATTTCTCACAGACACAGATTTGAATACATATAGATATGTATAAATCCATTTAGGTGTACGCACACATAGATAGATAGATAGATAGATAGATAGATAGATAGATAGATAGATAGATAGATGAGGTTGTGCTGAAAAGTTCTCGTCCTGAAAAATAAGCCCTTCTCTTGATGTTTGGTCACAAGGTCAGTTTTGTGGAAATGGGTTAGACCGGCGGTGTCAATCTCGATTTAGTTCTCGGGCTACATATCAAGTCAATTTGATCTCAAGTAGACCAGACAAATAAAGTCATGCCATAAGAATCTATAAACAGCAATTTCAAAATTTTCCTATTGTTTTAGTGTAAAGAAGCACATTCCAAAAACGCTAATGTTTCAAGAACGTTATTTTTTACAAAACATTGAACAAGTGAAAGTGGGAAAAGTTAAGGAAGTCTGAGTTATCACACTGCATTATAAATATATACAACTTATAAATTAAAAAGAAAAACATTTAAAAACACTTCTGTTATATTTTATCATTAATTTTCAATATGTCCCTGAAACTTGGCATCTTTTTCTCCTTTACAAGTGCGTCAATATCAGGTGTGAAATCCTGAGTAGCAGCCAATTTCAGGACATCATTTTGGTGCTTATGTGTGAGATTTGAGAGCAGCTTTGTTTTATTGATGCCCAATTACAGAGAAAACATGTCCATAAAGGTAACTAGTCCCTAAAAGATACAAAACTTACGCAGCTGTCAATTAGGAGTACTTTGGCAAGCAATACTAATAAAATGTGTCAAAGACAAATGAGATAAATTAGTTCTTCAAATCTGAATCACACTGCAAGGCAATCATTTCAAATTGGATATATATATATATATAGATAGATAGATAGATAGATAGATAGATAGATAGATAGATAGATAACTATACTCGTTTCGAAAAACCCTTGAATTTTTGATTTGCCAATAATCAAATCAATCTCGAGGGAAAAAAAGGTTTCAAAAAAAGAAAGAGCTAGAAACATGAAAGTCTGTCGAAAAAAATAGCACATGTGCAGGTTTGAAGCCCAAAGAAAAAAAACCCGACACGAGTAAACAACTAACTAACAAAAGAGCTCGATACAATCGTAGAGCAGACCTAGATACACCTAGTGAGCCAGACAAACCTACCCAGGTTTCACCTAAACGGATCGTCAGGGAAAGCCGGCTTTCTCTGACGATCCGTTTAGGTGAAACCTAGGTAGGTCTGTCTGGCTCACTAAATGATGCCTATAGGTATATATATATATATATATATATATATATATATATATATATATATATGTGTGTGTGTGTGTGTGTGTGTACGATTATTTGATGTCAGCTATTTTTACAAGTCAGCATTTCTCTTAGGATATATTTTCTACGTCATTGTGTTAGAGAAAGCTAAATTATATTTAATATCTCATAAGAAATCGATCTTCTACGCATGAATTAGCAAAGCAGAAAAGAAGTTTCATTAACGACGCGAAATTCAATGTTCATGGGTGGCTTAAAAATCAGGCACGTATACTGATAACACATAATGTGACACACACTCACGCGCGCGGGCGCGCACACACACACACACAAAGACACACACTAAAATAAAATAAATGGGTGTGATAGCAGCAACGCGTTTTAAGAAATGAGCAGGGTGGGATACCATTTATTGTCTGATTTTCGACTGATAGTTTCTTTGAATCGTTGCATTTGCGCCATGATACTGTCTTCCCTTCCTCATTTTTCCGGTATCGCATGCTAACTAAGTTATCTCCCCTGCTGTTCAAAATAAAAGGAAAAAAGGTGAGGGGAAAATATTAATAGATTTATTTGTGAAATTAGTATTATCACACCTAATCATAAAGGAAATGACTGTTAGTGAAGTGACTATTTGTACGTCTCACTCTTCCTCTGTTTTCCAGTGTAGTGTGTATATATGTGTCTACATACATGTATGTGAATGGGTGTGAACACGCCAGGAGATGAGAAAGGGAAGCGGCATTGTTTTAAGGGCCTGGGGACACAGTCAGCGGTGGGGTTTGAAGGAAACGGAAATGGTAGGGGCGGAGTATTGCAAAGAACAATGTACAAAAGAAGAATGCATAAAATGTGTAAAAAGAGGACTCTTATTAGAACAAAAAAGGGTGCGATTTCTCGTGTCAGACTGGTTTGTTTATCGGTTAACCATCAGTGTATTGTTTTGTTGAAACGATTCTCGCGAAAAGTATTAAATAAGCCTCCAAAACATCTTATATCTAATTCATTATGTCAAAGGCCACAAATCAACGTTATAATTACAAGGTATTTAAATTTTTTAAAAATCAGTTTTTCATCTAATTTTATTTCCATGTTAAATTTGTTTAAGTTTACTCCCTGTCTCTATCTCTATTTCTCTTTCTTGTTTTCAATTTAACGTAATTATTTGTGTATAATACGCAGTTCATCTAATATTATTTTCATGCTAAAGTTTGCTGTTGCTTGGCCTGCATCTCTCTTTGTTTTCATTCTACCATAATTATTTAATAATAATAATAATAATAATAATAATTACATGGATGATCTCAACCTACTCTACATGGATGATCTAAAACTACTCTACATGGATGATCTCAAACTCTTTGCCAAAGACGACAATGAGTTGAAAGGCCTCCTCAATATTGTAAAATACTTCAGTGACGACAGGTATGGACTTCGGATTAGATAAATGTGCAAAAGTAACTTTCAAGAAAGTTAGAATTACAGAAACACCATTAATAGATTTAGATTTTGTCACAAAGATTAGGGAACTGGAGCATGGTGAAGCTTATAAATACCTAGGAATTAGCGAAGGAGATAGCATACAACACCCCCAAATGAAGGAAAAAATAATAAAAGAGTACTACAGGCGTGTACGTCTGGTACTAAATACTGAGCTAAACTCAAAAAACAGGATATCAGCCATAAACACATTGGCTGTCCCTGTGGTGCAATACAGCTTTAATGCCCTTAACTGGACCATAGTTGAAATTAAGCGAATGGACGCCAAAACGAGAAAGCTTCTCACTTGCTATCGCATGCATCATCCCAAAGCTGATGCCGATCGTCTGTATGTGCCCAGATCCGAAGGAGGCAGAGGATTAGTTCAACTAGAACTGTCCTACAAAACTACAACAATTGGCCTCCAAAGATATTTGGAAACTACAGAAGACTGGATGATGGTATGCGTCAAGGAATATGAAAGTAGTAAGCGTCTTTACCCCGTAATGAAAGAAGCCAACAAATTCAAAATGGAGTTCCAAATGGGCGTAGAGATGCAACTACAGCACAATACACCGGCTGAAACTGCAAAATACCTAAAAAAGACAGCAAAGACGAATGCAACCGACCAGTTACAGAAGCGATGGCAAGATAAACCGCTTCATGGCCAATACTCTGCCTGTACCAAACAAGCTGACGTAGACAAAACCCGTACCCATCAGTGGCTACGTAATGCAGGGTTGAAAGCGGAAACTGAAGGTTTTATCCTTGCTGCGCAGGGACCAATGCTTGCTAACTAGGAATTATCAAGCACATATACTAAAATATTGTGTCAGCCCCAAATGCAGATTCTGTGATAAATATCCAGAAACGATTGATCATCTTGTATCAGGTTGTACGGTGTTGGCACCCACTGAATATAAAACCCGACATGACAGAGTGGGCCAATATCTGCACTGGAAAATCTGCAACTTCTACGGAAGGAAACTGAAAGAAACTGGTATGAACACCACCCAGACCCGGTTACGGAGATAGGACCTGTTACAATTCTATGGGATTACACAATACACACTGACAGAACAATCAAGGCCAACCGGCCAGATATTGTTATTAAAGACCACAAACAAAAACGGTGCCTCCTTATTGATATGGCAGTCCCTGCTGAATGCAGTGTATCTTTGAAGATATTCAAAAAGTTGTCAAAGTACAAGGACCTTGAAATAGAAATCTCGAAAATGTGGCATATGGGAACATCAACAATCCCTGTTGTAGTTGGAGCCCTAGGACTGGTTGGAAAAGATTCCAGTAGACTAATTGAAGGGATTCCTGGAAGTCCATGCCTCAAGGAGATACAAAAATTGTTCTGACAAGTACAGCCCACACCTTACGAAGGGCTTTATCTATGTAATTTAATTTTTTTTTTTTTGTCAGTGGAAAGTGTCATGACGCCATTTCTAACCTTAGGTCCCTGGACGGGACCCGGAAAGAAATGTGTAAACGCCAGAAATCAAAGAAAATAATAATAATAATAATAATAATAATAATACTATTTTATAATTAATACGCAATATACAGATATATTTGGATAAATTTTAAAGCCTAATCTAATCGCTATTTTCTCTTTCAGACGTTTTTTATAAGAATTTTCCGCTACTTCTGTCCCATAACAGCGATTTTTAAATGCACATACTGTACTCTAATTGTAATAAGTATCATGGGACAGAAGTAGTACTAGTATTTTCTTATTTACATTATTTAAAGAAAGACTAATGTCTTCATTAAAATGTTTTGGATGTTGCGCACCCCGGCCTTCTTTATGTGTTTGTCGATCAGCATAAACTTCAAGGAATTTTAAATTGAATCCTTTACATAATCAAAAATTGGGATTAGATTGTTCTAATTATTGTGTCATTGTCTAAAGATATGTTATGTTGGTTAATAGTTTAGATATTCCTGTTTCGACTGAGTAGATTGAATATAAATTTCAGTTCGAAATTTCCTGTAAGATGCTCGAAGAATGCCGGAAGACAACACCCGAAACGTTACTGCAACAACAAATATGAACTTTCTTAATGTCTGTTATTTCGGGATTAAATTTTGTGGTTATTGCTCACCTGTTTATTTTTAGACAAATGTTAAAAATTTCAGCCAATATTCCCTTTAATTTTAACAAGTGTATGCTTGATCCAAGTAGTATTTACTTAAAAAGTTGTTTTGTTAAAAACGTCAGGAATATAAATTCTGTACTGGAAAAAATCTGTAGAACAGTGTAAAAACATAACCTTAGATCTTGTTTTATCCTTAAAGAGGTTACAAACAGTCAAAAGTGGTACTCGAGTGAAGGAAGAGCAACACTCGCGTAGATGAAAGAAGATAGGTTTATTGTAAAAGAGAATACACTATTAAAAGACAGGGAATCGGGTGGCAGTCTAGTAATTCCCGAAGCAATTGTATCTGCCAACGGCCCACGCGATCAAATGAGGCACAAGGCTGAATTTAATGTGGAGTATGCGAGCCCGTAAGCTAGGCCAAAAATTCACCGTATAAAACGAGGGCGGGTAGCTGTTTCCCGAGACGAGACTCTGCCTTTCGACATGTCTTGTCCGGGGATCATCTCTGCCCAGAGGCAGAAAGTTTGACCAGCACAGCTGAAGACGAATCTCCAACTCTAGACAAATTGCCGAAGCAAGGGTATTTACCTTACCTCCGGCCGTTTTTTAATGGGGAGCTAAAACCAGCCCATAGGCTTGGGCAAAAATTCCTCGTCGACCCCGTATACACGGGGTCGGGTAGCTGTCTATCACCCCAGACAAAACTCTGCCCTTAGGCATAGTCTCGTCTGGGTTCCTCTCTGCACGAAGGCAAAGAGTTCGACCAGCATAGCTGGAGACGAATCTCCAACTAATTGCCAAAGTAAGGTTATTTACCTCACCACCCACGAGAGGTAGGATGTGGCACAAGGCCGTTTTTAATGCGGGGCAAAATCGAGCCCGTAGGCTTGGGCAAAAATTCCCCGTCGACCCTGTAAGAACGGGGTCGGGTAGCTGTCTCCCACCCCAGACGAGATTCTGCCCTTCGGCATAGCCTCGTCTGGATTCCTCTCTGTCAGAAGGCAGAGAATTCGACAAGCACAGCTGGAGACGAATCTCCAACTAATTACCGAAGCAAGCCCTCTATGTTCACTATATATAACTACTGATATAGTCAGTCCACATAGGCGATAAGGAGTGTGGAACATTTCATTACAACAGACCTTCAGATATGAATTTTAAAATCTTTCGTAATGTGACTTAAAATTAAAGACTCAATTTATCACATCGTGATTTGAAAAAAGCGCTTGTTACTGATTATCTCTTATATTCTCCATGTCACCAATTCTTATCGATATTAGCATGATTTTTGTTTCTATCAAGGATTATTTTTTCATTATTATTTCAGATATTCCAGTTTCCTACTCAATCCATACTCTACAAATTTATTTACTAGTATTTCGTACATGAGTGATATCAGACATCAAAAAAATTCTCTTTTTTAACTTATTTTACTTTTGCTTCTTTTCATCTTTTTCTTTACTTCATTAACATCATCTACCGTCGATTCACTTCTTCATAATCTTTTATGTCATCATTTTTTTTTCTTTTTTAATTTCGTCATAAGAATCTTCTATTTATGGTTGTATTTACATTCGCTTCATTTTTATGTACTTTTCCCATGAACTTTTCTTAATTCACTTCAATTCTTTTTCTTTCTCATTTTCATCATATTATTTTTACTTCTTGTTGTTGCTGGTCCCCCTCTTATTTCTTACACACACACACACATAAACACACACGCACACACACACACACACACACACACACATATATGTGGTTAGACACTGAGTTATATGTAAAATATACATAAACATGAAACATAACTGCCACCTACTTACTTTTCGATAACACTTGTCTGATAGAGCAGTTAGTTAATTCCTTTCGCAGAGGCCTTCTCAGGAATATTTTTCATCAGCATCCACAGAGCCAACCTGCATATGTGATGAAGCGACCTTAATTACAGTTTTCAGAGAGATAGCGATAGTGATTTTCCAAGCATGGCTTAGATGTGGCACAAGGCCGAAAGTAGGAGGCACCCACTGTGGATCAAACTCACTACTCAGTCGTAATTTTTCTAGCAGGACAAGCTTGTTAACCATTACACCGCCTCGAGAGAGATAGCGTATAAACTGGCATTATCAGTAGTTTGATCAACGCCAGTACGCTCAAACACTCGTTGACTTATATTTTCATGCTAGCGCAAGCATCGATAGATTCCGAACAGTTCAGTCTCTATCCAGTTCATTCACACGGTTTCGGTGAACCCGTTGTAGGGTGCCGCTTGCTGGGATCACTA